TCAACCTTTGTAACTTGTTTTGAAGTAATAAAGATGTATTATTTGAGTATTATGTGCTTACACTTAATTATTATGATGTAATAAATTAAGGATAAAAATAAGCGTCGAAAATAAATGTTAGATAAACCCGATATCTATGAAGAAAGTTGTAGTGGTTGAAACAAGGATTCCGGAGATATAAAGAATATCGAAATCGAGTTATAACGAAGAAGTTATGACCTGTCGAAGTTTCGCGACAGAACCGGCACGACGCTGTGTGACGTAAAAAGTGAATTTACGATAAAGTGATTTTTAGTCTTAGTGATCTAAATGAAAGTCGTATTATACGTTAAACCAAGAGTGTGCATAAAAAGAATGTCAAAATCTGAGTTCGTATGAGGAAGCAATGATTTTTCTAAGATTTAGTATAACAGTATGCAGCACGGAATTCGAATTATAGATCGAACGATTTTTAGCCGACACAACCTAAACGAGAATCGAAGATCTTGTCGATAGTAGCTTAACGGTAAAAAGACAGACAGAAACGGACGTCGGATGAAGAAGCTATGAATTTTTAACGGACTTTTCCTGTCCCGGCCTGTTAAAAATAAAGTCAAAATTAGCCGACGGAGTCTAAAAGAAAGTTGTAGATTATAATCTCACCTACGCGTGGATATAAAGAACGTCGAAAACGGAGCCCGTATGCAAAAGTTACGAATTTTTAAAGTTCAAGGCCCAAATTCCGAGGCTGGTCCGAAGGCGTACGCCCAGCGTACTCGGTTTACGCTCCGCGTACTCGTGTATGTGATCCGGAGTCGGTCACCCCCTACTCCTTCGCATGATGGATACGTGTTGGTAGCTATGACGCGTCCGAAGCTCGGAACCCGATCAGGCGCCACGTCTCGTACGCCCAGCGTACCGAAGTTACGCCCAACATAGTGGCTGGTGAAGTAGTACGCCCCACGTACCATGATATTACGCCTAGCGTAATTCGAGGCATCAGCCTCCTATAAATAGGATGCGAGGCTGCCCGAGTTATGTTTACAATTTTCACACTTTTACACCTTCTACTTTCCTTTTAGCCTATCCTAAACTAACAAAGCCTAGGGTACCATCCTAGCACCTGAAGAAAGCCCGGAGCCCCGAAGTCTCCGAGAAAAAGAGTTTTTCGAGTCGAAACTCTGCTCGCGCAGATCCCGATTTTTGAGAAAACATCCCGGTTTCATCGAAAAATATTGTTTTAAGGGACAAAGTGCTGTCCAATTATCGTCAAATCAAGTGAGTGTATAGTCACTTTCATCTTACACATAAATATGAAATATTTTATATAAAATTTGTGCTATGTTTATATATGTTGTTTGTTTATTTGAGATAGATGTTGAATGAATGTTTTATATATGTTTAGAATGATTTAAACTGTATATATATAAATTTTTTTCTACAAATATGTTGGGTATAACATGGGTAGATGAAATAGTTGATGTATGATGAAATAAAATGATGAGAGGTCTCGATGTTGACGATGTTCCAGTCATCTAGCAGAATATAGATGTCGACCACGAACTTTTCTAGACAGTCCAGTGGAACATTAACAGGCTCGTAACCTGTAGGTGTTTTTGAACTATGTGTTCATCAGGTATTTTTGAACTATGTGTTCATCAGGTATTTTTGAACTATATGTTCATCAGGTATTTTTGAACTGAGTGTTCACTAGGTGTTTTTGAAATAGGTGTTCATTAAGTATTTTTGAACGGAGTGTTCACCAGGTATTTTGATTTAAGTGTTCACCAGTTGTAATCTAAATATCCTGGCAGCTGCGCCTAATGGATAATATTGGCAGCTGTGCCTAATAGAACATCATAATCCTGGCACCTGCGCCTAAAGGATAACATTGGCAGCTGTGCCTAATAGAGAACATTGGCAGCTGTGCTATTGGCAACGATGGACTTTATGCCTATTCCTTAGGACAATCCTTTGGAATGAATTAGTTAATGTTAGAGGATTATTAGGGTGGAACCTGAAGAAACTGCAGAAGTATCCCTTAAGCAGTGTTGTTACCCCGATGATGATCCTTAAGCTAGGTCCCTTTTATTAGATGTTTAGGGACATAAAGTTAGGGTAACGGGAACGGGTAATCAGGGTTATTGTTGATTGATGAAATTAATAAATTTATTGTTAGTTAATGAAATTAATAAATTTATTGTTGGTTGATGAAAATTAATAAATTTATTTATTGTGGGTTGAAAACCCTATATGCCAGTAGATGTAAATAACTGTTGTAAGGCCTATATCGTACTCTTTATGCTTTTTGGTCTGTATCGGAACACGACATCCCGAGGTTTTGTAATATATTGAAAATACATTTCTTTAAGAAATGCTTTGATAAATTTTTATCATATTTTGTTTTGGGGACAAATTCCGCAACACCTTTTGAAAGATTATTTTGATTTTATTTTAAAAAGCATAAACGAAATCAGTCTTTTCTGGCCGTGAAAATGAGGATGTCACATATTCCCCTCCTTTTTGGATAGCCAAAAATGATGTTTTTGTATCAAGCTACTAATAGGCATGTCTGAGTTATCTATCGGAGTATAAATGACCACCCCTGACTAAACTGTCTTGTGGTGTTAATGAATCATACTAATCCAAGGAAAATGTTTATATGTTAATTCGAGTTACTCTATCCCTCATTGTTGCCTTTATTGACTAACGTCTGCTGCTAAGAAATCACTGAAGCAGTATAGTCAACTCGTTCCTTACGGTGATCCCCCATGATATACATTATAAAATCATTGTTCTAGGATAAATATGTGAGGATCGACGAAGTGGGTAACTAAGGGTAAAAGATCTTATAGATATTTATGTTATGTTGTTGGATAACAGTTGGTTTTTGCAGGTTACTGATTATGGATTAATATTATAATAATATTGTGGGATTGAAAGCTCTATGTATCTCACCAGGTTTCCTAACTGAACTACTCATTTTATATGCATCATAGGTAGTACTGTTAAGACTAGTGGAGACTTGAATAAGATGATGAATGATTAAAGAGAAGACGTGCAATAGTGTTTAGGATCGTTATGTCTTTACGATGTAACTATCTTGTGTATTGATTATGATATCCTTAGAGTTTTATTATTTTGAAACAAACATATGTACTCAAAAAATGTTTTAATATACTGAGATTTTTCGCAAATAAAGATGTTATGATTTTTAAATTAGAAGCTGAGGCGACCGGAAGGGAGGCGAGTGAAGTGAGGCCACTTTCGAATCCTTCTGCCAAAGAAGCATAAAGAAAAAGTTTTTTTCGGTTATGGAAAACAAGAGATGTTACAATACATAGGTGTGGAAAAGGGTGGGTTAAATTTCATATAAGGAAAAAGGGGTGAAGTGTATAAAAGATGAAGAGGGAAGAGGAAAAGGGTTGCCTTGAATATGATGGAGGTGAGGGATCTATTCTATTTATTTATTATTAAAACTAGTTAAAAATTATAAAATAAATTTAAAAATATATATAGTCAATTTACATGTACGAGGGACCAAACACATATGCAATTGAAAGGTGGACTATTGTGTAACATATTTTATAGTTATTGAGACTTTTTGCAAAGGATATGGACTAATTGTTCAATGTTGTCCCTATATTGGTATTGTTTCGTGATTGATATTCTATGTGAGCCCAAAAACAAGTTTATATACAATTTTATTAAACAGTGTCTTTACCAAATGTTAAGAAACTATGTCGACATTTCGAAATTGACATATCTATTCGAAATATCTTTTCATCTTAAAAGTTTTTGAAAAATATTAAAAATGTTCGGAGAATTCGAATTACTTTCGAAAATCAGTACTTTTCGAAAATTTTTTATGGAAACAACACTTTTTCTATTTGAAAGTATAAAACTTCGAAGAACATCGTATTTTGCAATTTTCGAACTCGTTTGATTAAGACTGTAAGCGAACCGAACGAACACGAACGTGACTTGTTCATGTTCGTTCGTTTAAGTTAGCCGAACAAATAAACGAACACGAACGGATAAACGAACGAGTTTTCTTGTTCATGTTCGTTCGTTTAACAAATTACATTGTTCATGTTCGTTCGTTTATGTTCGTGAACATGCTAAACGAACATAAACAAACAAACGTAAATGAGCAGAGATAAAAAAAAACATAATTGAAGATAAATAAACATAAACTAACATATAATACACTAATGTAATCAAACACAATTAAACATATGTGAACAAAAAATGAACTTATATGAACGAACATAAACGAACAACATAAACGAACGTTCACGAACATAATTGAACGAACGAGACCATTGTTCATGTTCGTTCGTTTAACTAAACGAACGATAATTTGTGTTCATGTTCGTTCGTTTATTAAATAAACGAACATAAACGAACTTACCGCCGAACGGTTCATGAACAGTTCGTTGAACGTTCAGTTCGTTTACAGCCGTACGTTTGATTCTTATATAATATATCTTTTGGTGGCCATTAAGGTCAATACTTCAAAAAAAAACATAAATGTATTTTAGGGTAGTAGCTGTAAACAAGGCAATAGTTGAAGGTCACTTCCTGAATTGTATACATCACTTGCTTGGTGTTATTGGATGTTTTGTCTTTTGGAGAGTTAAGTAGCTTTTTGCGTGTTTACTCAACTCGAAACAGTCGGTGTAGTGTATCTTTCTCAGCTACTTCAGTGTTCTATCTTTCATTCCACGCATCTAACTTCATCTTCCATTAGATCCACTACTACATCTGTCCTCCATTTCAGATCTGTAGTAATTCAAGCCTTGATCATGCATTAACATCGCCTTCTGGAGTAACTACAGATCTATATCAAAACCAGAGGTAAGCACATCGAAATACAAATTTTCAATTCGGATTTCTTTCTGTGTGATATCATTTACATTGTCTTCTTAGTTTTCCTAATTCATCATATGAATGATAATACGATATGCTAAATGAACAATTTTTACCTTGAATTTGTTTATTGTATAGCTGAAATTTAGATGAAAGAAGCCAATTCCACGACAGATCCGATCGGGCAAAACCTAATAAAGCTCATAAGCAATGTCTGCTTCTCCGTGTTTGTATTCACTGTTCTTGTATTTACTGTAATCGCGATAACATACCAACCACCCGATCCATGGGAATCTTCGAGAGCCCTAACTAGGGTTTTCACAGAGGTGGAAAATGCCACGTTTCAGACAGATAACTCAGTCCTCAAAACCGGGGAAGACATCGGAATGGCTCTTCTCAGCCCAAGTCCAGCTCCTTCCGAAGCTGATGTCGAGTCAAGCGACTCACAAAACTCCCCAACAATCGAGAAATCAGAAGAAAAAGGTACGAATCTAAGCTTGAGCTCTGGTGCTTGCGATGATACAAAAATTAGTAAACTGTTCCGATAGGGGAGTTTTAATGGCTATCAAGAAATTCAACCTAAAACACTTCAAATCAATAGTGTTTCTCGACTATCAAACACCAGTCAACACCTCAAATCCAAACGAATGTGATGTCACATGGAGATTCCGGAATCGGAAAGAGAAATCCTGGAGAAGGTATAGAGATTTCAGAAGGTTCAGGATCGGATTCACCGATTCCTGCACTTACAAAGTAATCGGAGCAAAAGGATGGCATTCCGGTGTCAATGCTCGTCGTCCCAGGAATAGAATCAACAATTCCACCAGAACTGGAATCCGATCGAATTTCTCTTCTTCTTCTTTCCGTGATGATGAAATCAACGATACAATTCCAATTCTAGGTTCAGATCAATCTTTCAGAAACGGGAAATATTTATATTATTCACGAGGAGGGGATTATTGTAAGAACATGAATCACTACATTTGGAGCTTCTTATGTGCCCTAGGTGAAGCTCAATATTTAAATCGCACATTTGTTATGGATTTAAGCGTTTGTTTAGCATCAGATTACACATCAAGTGGAAAAGACGAAGAAGGAAAAAGACTTCAGATTCTATTTCGACTTTGAACATCTGAAAGAAAGTTCTTCAATAGTTGAAGAAGAAGAGTTTCTCAAAGATTGGAGAAGATTTGAAAAGAGAAACAAAAGGAAAATCCCCTTAAGAAAAGTTCCATCTTACAAAATCACACCAATGCAATTAAAAAAAGATAAATCCACAATAATCTGGAGACAATTCGATACCCCTGAACCTGAAAACTATTGGTATAGAGTTTGTGAAAGCAAAGCTTCAAATTACATTCAAAGACCATGGCATTCATTGTACAAATCAAAAAGATTAATGAACATAGTATCTGAAATAAGTGGACAAATGGATTGGGATTTTGATGCTGTTCATGTTGTTAGAGGTGAAAAGGCGAAAAATAAAAACATGTGGCCTCATTTAGATGATGACACGTCACCTGATAATTTAGTTGTAAAGCTTCTAAATGTTATACAACCATGGAGGAATCTTTATGTTGCTACAAATGAAAAGTTTTATAATTATTTTGATAGATTAAGGTCTCATTATAAAGTTCATTTGCTTGATGATTATAAGGAGTTATGGGGGAATACAAGTGAGTGGTATAATGAGACACGTGTCTTAAATGGTGGAAATCCTGTTGAGTTTGATGGATATATGAGAGTTGCAGTGGATACTGAGGTTTTATATAGAGCAAAGACACAAATTGAGACTTTTTATAATTTGACTAAAGATTGCAAAGATGGGATAAACACGTGTTGACCAGGTTTGACTTTTTTCTTTTTTCTTTATTCCATTATTTCATTACAATATGTTTTATATTCAATGTGATGATGAATGTATTCATGAATAAGTTGTTATGGTGTAGGGGGTAGAATTGGAAGATTGTGATGAAAATGAAAGAGGGAGGAACTTTGGAAAAGCTTATAAAGTAATTTGTAAATTTGTTTTTGTTTGTTTAATTGTATTTGATAGAGATTTTATGCAAAAATGATATGGAAATGAGTAGTTTTTGTGGTTAAAATTGATTTGGGTAAAAAATGTATGATTATTTTTTATATATATTCCTTGTAGAATATTTGTTGTGGAATTCAAGACAAATACTTTCTAAACTCATATTTGGTTGTGAAGTTTATTTTCTCTACAATATATTGGTGTTTGATATTTTGTAGATTGGATTTTTATGAAAGTAAGATGTTGCAAGATATACTACATGGTTCAATTTATATATATTTTAGTATAAATATTGGGATATGCTCATGGCTTGTCCCTTTAAAAGTTTGCCCTTATTTAAAAGGCTTCTAGCTCAATAATATTAGTTAGGTGTTGTCATCTTTTTTAGGCCTATGTTTCAAGTTCTATTTATAATATTAGTTAGGTGTTGTCATCTTTTTTAGGCCTATGTTTCAAGTTCTATTTGTCATAAGGTAGAATTAGAAGCAGTCTAGGAGTAGAGTAGATTAAGACCGATTGGTGTGTTAGTTGAAAGACTAGTTGATAAGAATAGTCTATGAGTAGATTGGATTACGTTGGATTATGTTTGACATGATAACTGAAAAGCTAATTAATAATTGAAAAAATATAAGTTAGCTGATAAAAATAATATTTGGTAAAAACTAAACTAATAAGTTATGTGAAATATATAAAATGACACAAAAGAGTATTTAGAAAAATATATTTTTTTATAATAATTAAAAGTTATATTTGGAAATTTTTTAATAAACTTCTGAAAAAACTAGTCAAAATACTTTTTTAAAAAGTTAGCTTAAAAACTTATTTTTTAGATTGTCAAACATAAAGATAAAAGTTGCTCCAAATTTGAGTATATAGTTAACTAGTGTTAGATGGGATGACAGGACCTTAGAGGGTGTTTGTGATTTATCTAAAAACTCATTTTTAACTTATCGACTTCTTGAAAAATCAATAAGTTAAAAAAAATGTTTGAATACCAACCTTTTAAACAATTTTTGGTTTAGCCTTTGAAAAAGAGTTTTGAAGAAGTTACAATTTGTGACTTTTTTGAAATGAGTTATGATTTATTAGAATAAAAAACAAGCAAAAGTTAATAAATTAGCCAAATATTTTTTTTTTAACTTATTGACTTCTGCCACTACAAAGTTAATTCAAACACTTTTTAAAATCTCATTTTCCCACTAAATCAATAAGTTTTTTTTTAGATAAATGTCCCTTTTTAACTTAAAAAACACTCATATTCTACATGCAAGAAATAAAGCTTTAAACTTTATATGCTCGATCAAAACTCAAAAGTAATATATACACTTTATAGTTTCTACAACGAACAGGCCCAATCTTGAAGCCCATTATGCTCCTTAGCAGCCCTTTGTATTTTAACCTGTTAATATTGGTTTATTTCATTTTACCTTAAGTTTACAAAAAAATTCTTTTTTTTAACAGGAAATGACATATTATCGTGTTTTTAAAAATAATCGAGACTTTAATGTTCAAAAAAAAAAATCTTGAAACTAAAGTGTAACTTTCCTGAAAATATTGAGACTTTTCTGACAATTTCCCATTTAGTAATTTACAAAGATGGAGAATCTTGAAAGAATAGCAAACCACAAAAATAAAAAGTTAGTTAACAATGCCTAAAATTCCTAATGTATAGGAATAATAATTTTTTTCAACTGTTTAATAACATTCAAGATAAAGATAAATAATATAATAAGTATTTATGTACCAATAATATTTTTTTAATTGTTTAAGAACCTTCAAGAGAAATATATAATATAAAAAGTACTTATCTACCAATAATATTTTTTAAAATTATATAATATACTAAATCTTCTACCAATAATATTTTCCTCATCGACACCTCTCCAGCTTTTTCTTTTCCCACCATATACGATAAATTGTTGAGGTAAATCGAGGTCCCGAATATCTTCTTGTCATCGGAACTGTAGTGTGAACCCGATGGATTCTTGTGCAACCTATCAGTCATTCTATCTTCACGGAACAAGTAAGCCCTAATTTTTCGATTTCAGATCACTAATTCAATATTCATGGATTTCCTAATCGTCTCAGTTTTCTATTGATTTTTTTTTTTTTTTAAATTTTACTAGATTGATTTCAACGGGTTGCTATTCAGTCATGGATGGAAACTATTCAGCCATGGATGGAAGGATAAAGGTATTTCTTTTATTTGTCTTCAATTTGGTACTAAAGTTTTTTTTCATCGATTTTGCAGCTACATCAGTTCTTTTATATGTATTTAATTTTGGGCTTTAATGTTTTTTACCTGCGATTTTACAGGTTTACAGTCCGACCTCAGCACAGACTTCTTACATTCATGCTCAGGACTACAATTGCAACCGGCATCTTTATGCCCGTGACCAGTAGGTGGTTCGAATGATGTATGATCTTCACAAGAAGGTAGAAATGTATGCTACCTTCTCTATCTTTTCCCTCTTTGTTTTTTAGTTCTAAAAAGCTTATAAACTTTCTTCATAATCTCTGCTTTTTTGGCGTTTAATACAAAGGCATCATAAGGCATGCCCAGTTGAAGTAGCTCAATTTCACCCAGTCGATTAATGGAGTTCTTGCAGCATATAAACCCTGACACACAATAGTCTTTTCCAGAAGAAAAGGAAAAATGTAAAACATCTCAATTTTCAAATCACTTTTACCAAATATATAAGACTTTATGTTGTTAACCTCTATCTAATCTTCTTTCATGTTCAGTTATACATGGAGAAGACTACCCTGTATTTCATGAGTTATTCGAATTTTGCCAAATATATGATGTTGGAACAATCGGTAAGTTTTTGAAAGGGTATTATAGTCATTATTTATCAACATATCGTATTAGCACATGCTGCCAGATGTTGCATGCCGAATGAGAGTAACGAATCATGGAACTACTTTAGATTTTCCTAATGCTTATTAAAAATGGAATGGTATCACTGTAATTAATAATATTTTGGCTGTGGTCCTTGTGTTTTAGAACTATGACAGTTAAAATGGGCTTGAACCCTGTTTTGAACATTTGAGAAATGCTTTATCATTCTAATTAACTTTTACAAGATTCATGTGTTATAAATTTTTAGAAATGGTCTTTATGCATTTTTTACTTCTTACATTTGCAGTGATAAAACAGTGACTTTCACACTCAATACACTTACTGTTGAAAAAAAAATTAACAAGAGGTTTGATTATTCCTTCCAACATTCGGTGTTGTGTTACTTTAGTAAACTGTAAGCTTTGTTTTTGGTAAAATCATGAGTTCTGTAACTGGTTCTTTTGTTTTTTGTGCAGTTATATGAAGTTCCTGTTTGGACCAAATTTGTAAAAAAAAAAATTAAAACTTAGGCCAAAACTGTAAAATTATATAGAATATGGTGTTAGTAGATTGCACATTTCCAATAATAGGATCAAGTCAAATTGTCCCATGTCAGAGTTGTGATTTTTTTTCATTAGAGATGGACAACCTGAATCTTGGTGGTCATAGAGAAATGGATTTTATCCATAGTCATGATTGGGAATGGGTTAATGTGATTAGAATTTAGAGAAGAATATGATTTAGAGTATTATGTTTTGTTGATTTTAGTTTAACCCTAAGAACATATTAATTAATAAGATGCATTTAGGAATCAATGATCACGGGATGGGTAAGGGAAGAGAAAGTTATTTGGTAGTCTAATGATTTGATTGTATAATTTTCATTCAATAAGATCATGTGACCAATGCGTTTATTCAATGTCATCAATGGTGGATCACATGCTTGCGTTTATTCAATGTCATCAATGGTGGATCACATGCTGGAAACAAGCTTGCTATTCAGGAATTCATGATTGAAGAAGACAAGGAAGGACTTGAGTTGCATAAAACAACCATTGGTCACGCTAGAGAAGTTGTGATTAGAATAGATGTTTCTATATGTAAATGTGGTAAGATTTGTAAATAACTCCTCATCCATGCATAAATAAATATTTAGTAACAGTAATAAAAGGCTATGAAATACCCTTTAACCCCCGCAACACGGGATTCTTCACTAGTTGTTTAATAATTTTCAAGAAAAAGATAAATAATATACAAAAAATCAATGGAAAAAGAGTAGAAAATCTTAAACCTTTGACCATCAGGTGCCGACACCACTCTTCTCACTATGGGGTTTCTCAGATCTTGCCATATTCTTGAATTGCTAAACGTTGCCACCGCTCCCCCTCCGCGACTCTGACCGTCTTGAGCACCTACCGGGCTCGGTTCACCTCTGCACCTTCCTTGTTTACTTGTAAGTCCTAATGGGTTGTGATGACCTGATAAGACATGTGAAAGATATGGTTGATAACATATTTATTGTAACGTCCGGAAAATTAAAACTAAAAATTTCGGTTTTAAATTAAGAAAATTATTATCCAAAACATCATCATAGAAATCATGGTGAATCAAAGTGTATCAATAACATCCCAATATATCAGAGTAATATAAAATACGGAACGAGGTGGTGTGTGCACTGTAATCATCCCAGACACTTCCCCTTTGAACCAGAAGTACCTAAAAACATAAACTGAAAACCGTAAGCATAAAGCTTAGTGAGTTCCCCAAAATACCAAATACCATACATATAAAACATATAATGGGCCTCGCCCGTCATCGGGCCCCACTCGACATCGAGCCCCGCTCGGTATACAGATCTTTCAGTCACCGGGCCCCACCCGGTATGCATATAAATATATAAACATATAAACACATAACACATGCAATAATCACAAAGATAAATAACATACAAAATGGTCATCGGGCCCTACCCGGTAAACATATGAACACATAACATATGCAAGAGTCACACAGACATTTAGCATCCTAAACATGACAAACCATGGGCCGGCATTAGTGCCTTCGATCCGCTAAACACAGTGAGGAAACTCACCTCTAGCTGCTGAAACACTTAAATGAATCTCGATCTGCTGGTCCGGAAAATCGCCACGCTAACATCACCAAAATAATATCCAATTAATAATTGGATCTCGATCTATAATCAAGAATCTAAGCTACTTGACCCATCTTTAAGGTAAAAGACCATTTTACCCTTTTTCTTACTTAGCCCAAATCCAAAGCCCAACCCAACTACTCAAAAGGCCCAATTTCCTAAATGGAAACCTGAAGCCCAATATGGACCAATCTTCCAATTGGTCCTAAAACCCATCATGGGCCTAAATCCAAGAGAGCTCAATATACTAGCAAAAGCCCAAATTAGAAATCTAATGGCCCAATAAGGCCCAACCTTAAAAGTCTAAATCATGACCCAATTTCGTGAATGTCAAGCCCAAGAGTCCAATTGCTGAGTATGCGGGACATACTCAGCTTGTACGCTTAGTGTACTCCTTCCGGGGCCAATACGCTAAGCGTACGAGCTGGGTACACCCAACGTACTCCCCAGACTACCAAACCACTCCATTAAGCACTTAATCAGTTAAGACCTCTTGCCAAACTCTCAGATCTGGTCCTAAAGGGTGACTTAATACATGAAGTTGGCAACTTTACACCCATGCACGACCTAATAGGACCCAACACTAAAAAAGAAGCTTAATAAGGCTCTTAATACTTGCATGAACCAATATCCTCCATAAAGTTTGCATTTTTATGAACAAGGGACCTCAATGGAGCTAAGATCTAACATCCATGGCTTCTGGAGTAGATCAAAAGCTCAACTTTAACTCAAAAGACTCAAAAATGCATAAATAACACCATAAAATGGATCTAGCACAAAGGACCTTCAAGGTGAGAGCTTTTTACCTCAAAAGGCTTGCTAAGGTGAAGATAACTCTGGATCTACAAGCACAAGCTATTCCCAAGTACCCTCCAAGTGTTCATCTTCTTCTTCTTCACCGCAAAACATCAAAAAACTCACTTTCAAGCTCAAATATCACCAAATACACTTAGGGTTTCGATATTAGGGCATAAGGTGATGGAGGCTGATCAATAAATGTACAAGAGGTCCTATAAGTTGTTTAAATAGGGTGCAAACCCTAAAAATTAGGGTTTGCCCCTGCACCACGTACACCATGCGTACTCCACGTATGCCCTGTGTACGTGGGTGGAACCCACGAACAGCTAATGGGCTAGTACGCTAAGCATACTCATAGAGTACGCCCCACGTTGTAACATCCCAAAATTCAAGCCCAAAAATTTCATTTTTTGATTAATTAATTCATAAAACATTCATTAGAAAATATTATATAAACACGTCATCTCAAAAACCAAGTATCGTGTTTAAAACCCACAACATAAACAAATGTCATATCAGAGTACAATCCCAGAAAACACCGTGCGGAAAATCATATGTATGTGTGTGATGCCATGCTACGCCGCCGGCTCCTTCCCCTTAGACGAAGAGGTACCTGAAACCAAAAACTGAAACCGTAAGCACAAAGCTTAGTGAGTTCCCCCATCATACCACATACCATACAATATCATCGGTATCTTTCAACCGGTAACCATTCATCGGTATCTTTCAACCGGTAACCATTCATCGGTATCTTTCAACCGGTAACTGGGGACTATTCCACCCCTTACCACTAGCATACAATACAAGATATAAGCATACAGTCAGGCATATCCGGGTACTGACCTACCCCTCGGTCCTAAGGACCACTATCAGGGAAACTATCCCTATCATGCACGTAACATATCATACAGATATAACTCATAAACAAACACATAACCAGACCAAGATAATTATCACAAAGACAATCATCTTCTAAATACTCCTCATTGGTGGGCCGGCATTGTGGCCGTAGACCCACCCCTACTGGAAGGTAACTCACCTCGTACAGGTAGCTGCTGATAATCTGTGCGGGAAACCTCCGTCCGCTGCTGCTCCGGAAATCCTCCGGCTACAAACCCCATAAACACTCAGTTAGAAGCTGATCTCTATACTTAGGGTAAAATGACCATTTACCCCCAACCAAGTCAAGTCAAAGTCAAAGTCAACTTCCAGTTGACCCGACTCGCCGAGTTGGGTCGTCAACTCGCCGAGTCCCTCACTCTCTACTCGTCCTCATCCGTGACCCTACTTGTCGAGTTGGGCCGTCAACTCGACGAGTTCTTCTCTCATTCGAACGCCCCATGAAAACTCATCCGACTCGCCGAGTTGATGAACAACTCGTTGAGTTGGCCTTTATCTGATGAACCAGATCTGTCCTCAACTCGCCGAGATGATGAACAACTCGCCGAGTTCTAAGGAGATTGCCTTGGACTCGCCGGGTCCGTTCATGCACTCGCCGAGTCTCATGAACTTCCAGCACAATGGCTTAGTCCAGAACGTTGGGTCACTCCCTAGGATCCCCTTAAGACCTTTCCACACTCGACTGGGTTCTTTTGACCCTCAACAGAAAAGGGGCAAAACCCTTAGACTCGCCGAGTTGGTCACATCCCCTCACTAAATTTTCGATTTCTGATGTACAACCCTTGATCAAAAGATAGATCTAAGCTTCCACAATCGATCTAGCACGTAAAGTTACAACCTTTACGTGCTTGCATGGGACTTTGAGCTTAAAAGGTCCTAAAACAAGCCCTTACAATGCATGGGGCCTTCTTTGAGTGCAAAAGCCACTCCTTTCTGCCTTGTAACCCCTCTAAGGACCTAGATCCGAAACATCAACCCCAAACCATGCTTGCAATCATGGTTGGTGACCAAAATGGCTTAGAAAAGCCCTAAAACTCCATGAAATGGGATCTATCAAAAGAACAAGCAAGTTATAGACTTTATACCTTCTGTAGACTGCAAATGATGCTCAAAACCGGATCCTTCTAGCCTCCTTCTGATCCTTCAAGCTTTTTCCTTCCTTCCTTGGGTCACAAAAGCATCAAAATCACTTCAAATGCCTTAGATTGCTTCAATAACGGCTAGGGTTTCAATGAGAGGTGTTTGGGAGCATAAAGGGGCGATGGAGGCTGCATAAGGTCGTTTAAATAAGGTGCAAACCCTTGAATTAGGGTTTTTGTCCAGACAGCACCTACTCGCCGAGTCCGGTCTCCGACTCGCCGAGTAGCTCATTAAACTCCCGTGTCCCCTCTCGCTTCTACTCGGCGAGTTGGTCCTTCAACTCGCCGAGTCCAAGGCCAAAAATGCAAAATATTTAAAGATTTAAATAAAAGAATACGTACCAAGAACCAGACGCTACAAATCTTCCCCACTTATTTTAGACTTCGTCCTCGAAGTCTGCTGCTCGTTCCTGAAACAGCTCGGGGTAATGCTCCATCATCTCGTCTACCGGCTCCCAAGTCCACTCCAACCCCTTCCGGTGCTGCCATTGCACCTTCACGAGTTCCACTCTCTTGTTCCTCAGATCCTTCGACTTCCGGTCGAGGATCGCTACAGGCCGCTCGATGTAATTCAGGCTGTCGTCAACCTGAATGTCCTCCAAAGGCACCACTGCGGTGTCGTCCACCAGGCACTTCCGCAGCTGCGAAACATGGAAAGTGCTGTGTATCTGTCTGAGCTCGGCCGGCAAATCCAACCTATACGCCACCTTGCCCACCCGAGCTAATACCCTGAACGGTCCAATGTACCTGGGGCCTAACTTGCCCCGCTTCCTGAATCGGGTGACACCTTTCCAAGGCGACACCTTCAGGAGAACCATATCCCCGACCTGGAACTCCAGGTCTGATCGACGCTTGTCGGCATAACTTTTCTGCCGACTCTGAGCAGTCTGAAGCCTGCTCCGAACCTGCTGAATCCTCTCGGTCGTCTCGAGCACCACTTCGGTGCTCCCCATCACTCTCTGTCCGACCTCGCCCCAACATATCGGGGTCCTGCACTTCCTCCCATACAACATCTCGAAGGGAGGACGGTCGATACTCGCATGATAGCTATTATTATACGAGAATTCCGCCAACGGAAGGTAGGTATCCCAGCTACCTCCAAAGTCTAAAACACACGCCCGCAGCATGTCCTCCAGAGTCTGGATGGTCCGCTCGCTCTGGCCATCCGTCTACGGGTGAAAGGCGGTGCTAAAATGCAGACGAGTACC